CCCCAGTCCCCCCCAGGACCCTGGAGGGAATGTTCCGGAAGCTGAACAACCTGCTGGAGCGGCTGCACCAATCCTATTTCCTGTACCTGCTGCCCTCGCTGTCCCGCTTCGTGTCCATCGGCTCCTACGTGCCCGCCCTGGGGCTGCTGCTGCTCGTGCTGGCCCTGCGCATATCCGGGGTGAAAACAGGGGAAAACGGGAAAAACGGGGAAAAAATGGGCAAAAACGGGAAAAAATGGGCAGAAACGGGGAAAAATGGGGTAAAACCGGGATAAAACCAGGGCAATGGGCTCCTGCATGCCCGCCCTGGGGCTGCTGCTGCTCGTGCTGGCCCTGCACATATCCGGGGTGAAAACAGGGGAAAACGGGAAAAACGGGGTAAAAATGGGGAAAAACGGGAAAAAATGGGCAGAAACGGGGAAAAATGGGGTAAAACCGGGATAAAAGCAGGGCAATGGGCTCCTGCATGCCCGCCCTGGGGCTGCTGCTGCTCGTGCTGGCCCTGTGCATATCCGGGGTGAAATGGGGCAAAAATGGGGGAAAATGGGGAAAAATGGGGTAAAATGGGGTAAAAATGGGGTAAAAATAGGCAAAAACCAGGAAAACGGGGAAAAACAGGGTAAAAATGGGGTTAAAAAGGGGTAAAACTGGGGTAAAACCAGGGCCATGGGCTCCTATGTGCCCACCCTGGGGCTGCTGCTGCTCGTGCTGGCCCTGCGCATATCCGGGGTGAAAACAGGGAAAAATGGGAAAAATGGGAAAAAATGGGCAAAAACGGGGGAAAAATGGGCAAAAACGGGGTAAAAATGGGGTAAAACCAGGGCAATGGGCTCCTATGTGCCCACCCTGGGGCTGCTGCTGCTCATGCTGGCCCTGCACGTATCCAGGGTGAAAACAGGGAAAAATGGGAGGAAAATGGGAAAAACCAGGAAAAAGTGGGGGGAAATGGGGGGAAATGGGGATTTGGAGGAGAAAAATGGGTAAAACATGCAGCTTTTGGGGAAATGGGGATTTGGGGGAAAAGAGGGGAGTTGGGAGAACGGGAAAAAGAGGAAAGGGGAGTTGGGGAAAAGGGATGAAAAGGGGGAACTGGGGATGAGGTGGGAAAAGGAGGGGGTTTGGGGAAAAGGAAATTTTGGGGAGGGAAGAGAGGGAAATGGGCAAACAGAATTGGGGGATTTGGGGTGAAAGGGGGGCTTGGGCTCAGGGAATGGGATTTGGGGTCAGGGAATGGGTTTGGGGTCACTGATTTGGGGTTTGGGGTCACTGATTTGGGGTCAGGGGTCAGAGGGGTCAAGGGTCAGTGATTCGGGGTTTGGGGTCAGAGGGGTCAGGGGTCACTGAATTTTGGGGTCAGAGGGGGTCCGGCCCTTTCCTTGACCCCTCCCCCACGCCCTGGACCTGTGGATGCGGCTGAGCCGGAGTGACGAGGGGGAGGGGGACCCCCCATCCGAGGAGGTGAGGGACCCCCGGGACCCCCAGAGTGACCCCAGGGTGCCCTGGGACCCCCAGAGTGACCCCGGAGCTCCCGGGACCCCCAGAGTGACCCCAGAGCCCCCGGGACCCCCAGAGTGACCCCAGACCCACCGGGACCCCCAGAGTGACCCCAGGGTGCTCTGGGACCCCCAGAGTGACCCCAGACCCACCAGGACCCCCAGGGTGACCCCAGAGCGCCCTGGGACCCCCAGAGTGACCCCAGGGAGCCCTGGGACCCCCAGAGTGACCCCGGAGCCCCCGGGACCCCCAGAGTGACCGCAGAGCCCCCGGGACCCCCAGAGTGACCCCGGAGCCCCCGGGACCCCCAGAGTGACCCCAGAGCCCCCGGGACCCCCAGAGTGACCCCGGAGCCCCCGGGACCCCCAGAGTGACCCCAGACCCACC